CACCCCGCAGCATCACATTTCTCAAGGTCGTCTGTAACCACCTTGTCACAAATTTGGCAGCCTTCCCTCAGGTCCCTCTCTCTGGTCCTTCTCCCTTCCTGGGACTCTCCTCCTCGGCCTCTGGTTCTCCTCCACCCTCTTCTCTCCATCCCAGATTTATGTGCTTTCCCCCAGGCTCAGCCTCTGCTCAGCATGGGGAGAGCTTATCTAACCTCATGGCTCCTGCTCTACGTCTCCAGGCCCACCCTTCTAAATCCAGGCTCCTACTGGACATCGCCTCTGAACCACTGTCATCTTGAATTCAATGTGTCTAAAACCAGACACATCAACCACTTTTCTCCACACTTGATGTCTACATTTCTGTCAATGGTACCACTGTAAACTCCTAAGTTTAAATTTTCATCGTCTTTGGCTCCTGTCTTTAAAGTCTAAGAAGACTGTAAATCCTACAGTTCTCCCTTTGCTAGATCTCTTCAGTTGGTCCTTTGCTCTCATTTTAAACACTGCTAACCACATGACCTCATGCCTGGATCGCTGCTGCTGCCTCTGAACAGGGCCCATGCCTCTTGTCCAGGTATCAGAAACATGTCATTTCTGCCATTTCACTTCTTTGCCCAAAATAAATTCAGTGGTTCCCTGCTGACTACAGGAAAAAGACCAAGTGCCTGAGCCCGGCATTTGGGGGTTAGAAAAGGAGTGGGCAAACTATAGCTCAGGGACCAAATCTAGCCCACTACCTGTTCTGTAAATAAAGCTTTATTGGAACGCAGCCACACCCACCATTTACATATTATCTATGGCTGCTTACATGCTACAATAACAGAGTTGAATAGTTATGGCAAAAACCCCATGGCCTATGAAGCCAAAAACATTTATCATCTCATCCTTTACAGAAAAGTTTGCTCACCCTGGTCTAGAATAATCAGAGACCAGCATATCCTGCCAAAGTTCTTGCCCATGACTCCTCTGGATGAAGTTCTTGCCCCTGTGGGTCTGCTACTGAGCCCACTTCATTGTATCTTACACCCACCATCTCAAGCCCGAAAAGCTTATTTCTCTCCTCCAGGGACTTTTCCTTCAAACAAAGCCAAAGCTCCCCCTCTCCATGAAGCCAGCTGCATCCATCTTCTGGATGGGCCTCCTCTGGCCCCATCTCTGCAGTACCACAGAAGTCTACACTGAGATTCTGCTTCTCCTATGGATCCTTTCCACCTCGACTATAGCTTCTCTAGGGTCCAGGCTTGGTAACTTTCACAGAGCAGTCCCAATGACAACTACTGATCCTCCATAGCATAATGTGGTAAAAAAGAATCAAACAAACTTACCAATGAAGGCCTGGGATTCCACATTTGAGAAGATAAGCTTGGGTCCAAAAGCATACACTCTAGCCAGCACCACCTAAAAGCCAATGAAATAAGAGTTTAGCTCTAAAAGAGAATATTTATTCATTTTCTTTAAACTTAGAACTCCCAGTAAATTTTGATTTACCTTCCTCCCAGGATACCCATCTCTGCTTCTCCGCCTAGACAATGCTATTCATCCTTCAAATCCACTGAACAGTCTTTCCCTAGAAGCCTCCCCAGTGTCCCGGGCAGGGAGCCACACCCTCCTCTCAGCTCCCATGGAACTCTGGTGAGATGTTTATGGCAACACTTTGGCACAATGGAGCATAATTTCTTACTTAGGAATGAGGTTCCTTACTCTGTAGGTTTATCAAGAGAAGAGATTTAGTAAATTCATTCCTTCCCTTTCCCCTACTGCCTAGCATACTACTGGCATTTAGATAATCCTCAATAAATATTTGTAAAATGGGTGGGAAAATAACCTACTCAATTCATTAATACATGCCTGGGTACCTAACATTCTGCTAGCCTGCAATTTTCACCATACAAATGCATACCTCAATCCCACTGCTTTTAATAGGCAATGGTTTAACAGGAAGAATTAATGAGATTAATCTTCTAAATGCGCAGCTTTGGAATGACACTCCCCTGGGCAGAAACCTCCAGAGGCTCCCAGAATCTAAGAAGTCAAGCTCAAGTCCACAGCCAGGCTGCCAGGCCTGCACCAACTAGCCCAGCCTGACTCTGCAAGCTCAGCCTGCATTATCTCCCGCAATGAACCCTATGAACCACGCAAAAAGGATGGATAGCCAGTTCCTTCCCTCTAGCTGGAGGTCTTCCTCTGTTGTTTTCCACATTATTTCCTTCTACCGAAATGCCATCCATTTCAAACATCATATTCCCAACCAAGTTCATGGGGGGGGGGGGTAAGGTTTT